CACAGCGAAACCAAGAGCATGCCACATGATTCCTTCACATTCATTTCATCTGTTTGAGTTTGTTTTCTGTTGCTATGGTAAACACAAACCAACAGTAATTTAGGGAGGAAAGGGATTATTTCCTCGTCCAGGTCCCAACACAGCTGTCATCATCAAGGAAAGCCAAGGTAGGATCTGAAGGCAGGAGTTGGAAGTGGAAACTGTGTTTCTTGTCTTCATCAGTGTTTTCATGCAGCCCAGGCACACCTGCCTAGGGCTGATGCTTCCTATCCTTTAACCATGTGACCTATTTGACTCTAACCCTTGTCCAGGTGAGCTATCTGACTCCATTATATTGGCCTTGTTGCCTCTCCAGGTTCCCATGAGACATGACTTTTTAACCTTTGTACTTTCTGCAGTGTTCTTTATCCACTCCATTGAACAAAGTCTGGAATGTACTAGGCATTGGGAAGACTTTCAGTGTACTAAAAATATTGAATTAATAGATAATTCATTCATTAGATGACTAATCTGCTAGATCGTGGAGATCACAAAATGCCTCCCCTTCCGTTTGCTTGACTGACAAGGTTAATTCCTACTGAATGTTCAAGCACTGGAGCTGGAATGAAGGTGGGATGCAAGCTGGAGTGAAGGACATGAAGTGGAACACACTTAGAAATGGAGACTTAAATAAAGCCTTGGTCAGGAAAGGCCTAATCCACCCTAACAGATGAAATTGATGAAGGAGGCAGACATAGCAATAGAGAATCAAGATCATATCAGTTTTAAGTAGATAATAATGTACCTCCTGTCTCAGACTGCTCATTGGCAACCCCGGAGTCAGCAACACTGGATGTGATTTTATTTCTTCAGTGACGAAAAGAGATATGAGCAAGTCAAAGTGAAGGTCAGGGAAAGGTAACAGGAGGCTTAACTGGACTAAGCTAACCCATTGCTGAATTATGGAGGCATGCAGCTATAGGAATTTGAAAGGACAAACAAGCTCCCAAACCGTGGTCTGCGGTATCACCTGGCATCTGTATTGCGAGGAATTTAAGAACAGCTGCTGCTGAGCATGGGCAGATGCAATTTGTGAAAACGCGCTGCATAAAACCCCACCAGCCCCGAAGAACTAACTGCAGGCGAATAGAAAAATGTGATGTTTTACACACAGTTCAGCTGGACTTAGTGTGTTTCTTCATTTGTTTCTCACAAGTGTTTATTGAATAATAAGTGACAAGTACTCTAAGGAATGTGGAGGTACCATTGAACTGACAGAAATCACTGGCCTATGGGAGATTTTATTCCAGTGATGAGAAGACAGATTAAACAAATGTCGGCATTGGTATCTCAATGAGAAAGGTGTTAGGAAAAGCCAAAAGAGGAAAGGAGTCTGTGAGCCTGTGAAGTGGCGAGTGGATGTCAGGTCAAAGTGTGATGCAGACTTGCAGGAGGTGAGGAATTAAGGCTGGCAGTCCTCTGCAGCTGGGAGCGAAAAGAAGATTCTCGCCAACTCACAGTGCTTTAATCTAAAGCATGGTACTGTTTTGGGGTCATTCTTTGTATTAATAGGAAAAGATATATTACTATTTGGTTAGTCTCAGAGGACCTGACCTGATTCCCTGCAGACAAACCCATGTTCTGAGAGTTTCTCATAGTTAGGGTCAAGCAAACCTCGGAGACGTAAACCAGGTTCTTCCTTCCTTGGAAGCAACTGGACACTCTAGAGGTGATATCAGGAAGTATCTCAGGCACAGATGACATATTTGCAATCCAAGAGGAGACTAAGGATTCATTTGAATGTTATCACTTTAAAATTTAAAAAAAAATAGTATATTGGGCTGAAAGATTGCTCGGTGGCTAATAGCATTATTACTCTTTCAGAGGATTTGAGTTCAGTTCACGGCACCCACAAGGGTGCACAGAATCTTCTATAATTCCAGTTCCAGGAGATTTAAGGCCTCTGCCCTCCATGGGCATCCACATACACTAGGCATCCACTCACACGAACAAACACTTATATTTGTGATTAAAACGAAAATTAAATTTTTAAAATACTTTGTTGCATTTGGCTGGATTCAGCAGTTCAGATCATTTGCGGTTCTTGCAAAGGACCTGGGTTTATTTCCAGCACCACAGTCAGGAAACTCTTGTTCCAAGGAGACCTAGTGCCCTCTATTTGTTTGCTCTGGATAATGAAAACATGTGTACTACACAGACATACATGCAAGTAAAACACATACACATAAAATCTTAATAAATAAATATCTTAAAATAGTATGTTGAGGAGATATCTGTGCTGACTGTTGGTTACATCATTAATTACAATAGCCACAAAAGGCAATCTAGGTCCACAAAATTCAGGAAAAAAAATACAAATGGATGTACTAGTCAGCCTTTAAAAATGGAAATATGTCATTCAAAACAAGATGAGTAAACTGGGAGATTATGTTACATGAACTAAGCCAGGCACAGCAGGAAGACACCACGATCCCATGAGGCTGTGAGACCTGTATGAAAGTTTTGCTCAAATTATAGAAAGAGAAATGAAAAGATAGAGAAGATATTAGTCAAAGAAAAGAAAAGGAGGTCGCATTTTTCTTGGGTAAATACAGTATGCATGAATAATGTCATTGTTTAAGCAGAACAGAAAAATTTGAATGCTAAAACTTAATTTTTTCCTACAGTTATGAGCAAGGTTATGTCACAGACCTTGATATTCCAGACAACCCTGACAGAAGGAGAGGGAGCAGGCACCTGTAAATAAGGAAAGCATCCTCTTTTCTTGCTTGGCCAGGGATGTACTGCACACATAGGCACTAAGATGCTCTCGGGACACTGTAACATTTTAGGGGCTACTTCTGCTTTTTGGCACATAATTCTTTATAAAATAGACAGATGTTGGCATATTCTATCACTTGAAACACTCCAAGTCTGTAAATTCATGGTCACGTGGCTATATTTGTTTTTGTAACATCCAGGGGCATACTCATTGGGAAGACGATACTAGACCCCGTACAAATAGCAGTTGTGTTTGTATATAGAAACCTGGTGATGGATGCTAAACATATTCGACATTACTGATAGGAAGGCAGTAACTCTTTAACTGGAAAAGGTGCTTTATTTGTGACAAAGGTAACATCCATTTTCCATATTTAAACTTCATATGTCACTAATAAAAAGGTTGTGTGTGCAAGTAGCTGTAAAATGCCAGACAAATTCAAGTTCTTAATTATGGAAGCCAGTTCTTAGGCATTATCAGTCTTTCTAAACCTCTACTCTTGATGCCTGCATCTTTCAACTACAGGAGCTCAAGTAGACCAAAACTTGTAACGTTAAACTACAGCGCCCTCTAGCCTGAGAAGGCGGTGAAGCAGCTGATGAGCTGCTTGAAGAAGCTCGGCGGCAGAGCTTCTCTTGCCTCTGGAAGGGGTGGCCATTCACGCAGCATTTGGATGTGTTCCATATGTCCTCTGGGTTGGCCTGTGAGAATACTTTTATTTTTAATCTCAAAAAGTTGTAAAATCGTAAATTTGACACTTAAGCTTTCCTCCTCCAATGCGTTTAAATGAGTGATGATATTTCTCCAGAAACAGAACTTAGCTGGCCAGTGTGCTGTTCACCTGTGTGTGTCCCCAGAACTGAAAGCTAAGTGAGACAGCACAAGTTTAAGGCCAGCCCAGGCTGCATAGCAGAACCTTGTCTTAAACAACAAATGATATGAAGGGAAGGGGGGGGGGGAGGAGGAGGACTAGATTTAAGAATCACTGTGGTTCCAATTACTATGGATTATTTGTTTACCCAGTTCCTTACATTCCAGTGTGAAAGCACTCTGCTCAGGGAGGGGAAACAAGGGTTAAGCTTGTACAAGACAGCACAGAAAGATGTTGCTATGGGGTCCTCTGCCCCCTAGGTTCAACGTGCAGAATACTTACCAGATGCAGAATTATCAAAGGAAGCATCGCTGGATATTTTAACATTAGACAGTGGGGCTATTTGCTAATATAGTTTAGAAATGCTCAGATTTAACACACACACACACACACACACACACACACACACACACACACACACTTCCTCCAGAGACTGCATTTTTTTTTATCTCCACTGCTTCTGCTTCATAGCTTTTACAGAAATTTTCAAGTTCAAAGACTCCAGTGGGTAAACGGGGTCCCACAGTGGGGAAAGAGAGCTTGCTGGTGGTTGTATTTTTGACCGCGAGCATCTGTGCCTTAATCACCCAGCTTTGAAGGATTTCTTTCTAACATTCTTTTCTGTGTACGATAAGCACTGCAATTCATTACACCGTTGCCGGAGACAAAGATTCTGCCAGCCTGTGCCTTTCTTGGCTGTTCATCTCAAATTTAATGTGTGTGTATGTGTACTCAATATTGGCGACGAGGCTCAAATTATGACCTAATCTTGCTGGAGTTTCCATCATAATATGACCCCCTTTAGAGGGTCAAAGATCATTTCCACCCCAATGCACCTTCCAGCATCTGCTCAGGGAGGGGGTGCAATTTTGGTGTGCCACAGTGGGAGGTGACTTTTATCACATTTTTTTAATCTTTCAATCTAAAGCAGGAAACAAGACATAGAAATCACTCCTCTCCAGATTTTCCGTGACAGGATCACACTACCCTAGTAAGCAGACTTGCAACCCTAAAGCTCAGAGCCCAAAGCATGCCTTCTCAACATCCACTCAGGCTTAATTTTGATGAGAGTGGCAGCCCTCACAGGAGGGGCGAGGTAAAAGTGTGTCTAATTACACGAGCATGGGAGAACTCGCCTGAGCCAGTTTCCCACCCCGCATCTGATGTGAATTTCCCCTGCGTGACTCCCGGTGCACGCCAGACCCTTCTCTTTAAATCAGCCTCCGTGCCCCTCACTCCGCCCACGCCCAGGTCTCTGGGCTGGTTCAAGCTTCCCAGAGCCTTGGTTGGTCCTGGCAGGCCATCAACACATCACCTCCTTGGGGTGGTTGCAAGCAGGGCTGGGATGCTGTGGGATGGCGGTGGGGGTTGTGTTTGTAGTACTCCCGGAAAGTCCTGATGTCACGGGAGCGGCAAGGACATCGCAAGGAGGAGTCGTGTTACAGTAAGGATGGGCAGTGGCGCGCACGGCCGGAGCGCACGCTCCAGCCGCGAGGGATCGTAGCCGGGAAGACAGGAGCCTGCCCCGCGCCGCTCGCCCAGCCTGCCGGGGAGGAGGCACGCTCCGCGCTGCTGCTCGCCACGCTGGAAACGTCTACACTGACCGTAGCATGCCACGGCTCTGCTTGGCGTCCCAGCCCTGGGTGCGAGCAGAGGCTGAAGACGCCACGGTGGGCTTCCAGCTGACTGATTAATGAGAAAAATAATGTATTTTGGTGAGTGTTCTCTCTGATGATGCAATTCTGGGGGGGTGCCTGGCGGCTCTCCATCATGCAAGCAAACGCTTTTTAAAAAATCTTTAAGCTGCTAGAATGTGTTATACGAAACCTACCTCCGGTGGGCAACTGGCGAACCCGTTAGAATGGTATTAAGAGCTTCTTTTGTACCACCTTTGGAGCTGGTTATCAACTGTGCAGGGATGTAAGCTGGAAAAGAAGAGGTGAGGGTGGGGTGGATAAACTTTGCTTTGACTTGTGGCCACGAAGTTGGCTTATTTAGCTGGGTGTATGAGACGTGGTGCAGCGTGGGAAGTCGTGGGCTAACTTAATGGAATGCAAGACAAAGTTCCCACACGACTGATGGCCTGAGAGCTTAGTCAACATGAATGTACATCTCAGGCATTGGGATTGTCCGTAGTTCAGAGGCCAGAAAGGAAAACATTGTCGAGTGAGCAGTCCTGCCCAGCCTGGCGCTCCTTCAGGTTACAAGAGGCTCGCACCAAATGCTTATTACTTTAAACCTTTCGAGGTCACGGGGGCTGTTAAATATGTGTGCGGTTTAGTTTGGGGCTGCGGCAGAACGCTCCCCAAGGTTTTCAACTGAGCTGCTTGCATTTGCAGAAAACATGTGGAGGCTTAGATGTGGGCTCTGGGCTGAGCAGGCTGGGAGCTGAGTTGTACCTTTACTCTGCAACGCCGCAGCTCACATCTGAGAAAAGAGGCAGAGTCCTTCACTTCTGGGGAAGAAACCAAGGAGTAAGACGGAGGAGGCTTTCCTCCTCCCTGGCGTTATGCTTTCGTTCTGTAAGTCCCAGCCGGTGTCATCACTTAACAGCATCTATCTGATATTAAAAGGTTGGTGGGAGCAACCGGAGAAGGACTGAGGGTACTGTTGTATGCTGCAGACTCAATGGGTGATTGGGGGGGGGTTGCTTTAAATATGAAATCAGCATTCTTCCTTCAAGTTATATTCAGATATCTGTGGATGGGGAGCTATTAGTTTGGTGGGCATGCATTTCCCTGTATGCTATTTGTTTTGTCTTTTTTTTTTTTTTGAGTCTTTTGAAACATTTGAGAAAGTGTGGAAGAATCCCGAGTTACAAAAGCTTAATGCCTTTAGCTGTCTTGACAGAAGCTTTGATCTCCCTATAATTAGCGTCATATTAGAAAAGAAATCTTAAAATAATCAGAATTTATTTGAAAGAAAGGATCCTCATTTCATAGCCCAATTTAAGCAGAATCCAGACTTAAGTAGCACTTTCCCCGTGGGTAGCTATAAGGGACATGCTTGTTTATTAGTAACGAACGGAACAAGATTCATCATCTGTGTGATTTCTGACAAATGGAAAAACTTGTAAAGATAATGCATCTTCTGAACATCATTAAAATTAAGCTTCTGTAATGAGAATCAGGAATATCAGAAAATATTTTAGTTTTAGTTTTGGGGTATTATAAAATGCCTAATAGGATTTTGAAGTAGGACTAACTAGAGAAATAGCAAGTGTCTCAAAGTCGGGGTTAGAGACTGCGGACCCTGTGATGATCTGTGGTGTCACGGACTGAAGACATGCTCACAGAGCCGGCTCAGACTGTTAACTGTGTGTTAACCCCAGTGATTTGGAAAGTGGGCAGATCTACAGGCAATTAGCTTCATTGTGCCATGTAAGCTTTTAATACTAGGAATTGAAGTGTGCTGTCCTACTTACTCCAGCTGGAAGTACACTTTTGCTAAGGCCAGGCTAAAGTTGCCCTCAGGGTTGTGAACAGGGTTCTGCCTCCCTGTCATCCCCACCATCGGTCCAGTGTGCGAAATGTTTTCCATTCTTGTAGGAAGTGATGTGTATATTAAGAGGTTGGGCTTTGGCAGCCCCTCAGTGAAGCTGCTAGACATTTAGAAGCCTTGGAGCCAAACTGCCTCTAAGAAAGTCATCTGTCACTAGAGCTAGGGCAAATAAGTAAATAAACAAACCGGGAATAGCCTGCGTGTCTTCTGATCCTATAGTAGGCTAATGTGTGTGTGTGTGTGTGTGTGTGTGTGCATCTGCACACATGTGCATGCTTATGTGTATATAGAGCTAAAATGGTTCTATTTTAGGTAGTTTAAGGAAACAGTTCTTTCACTTGCAAATTTATTGGTGTTTCATTATTTCCTTTATTTCTGCACTGATGATGATTTAACAAGCCAAGACCAATAGGGGCACTGGGAAAGCTTCAGTCTTGGGCTTTTCTGGTGACTTGTGGCAGTGGGAGAGCCATGGCAAGTCTTTTATTTGCATCCCCAGTAGGAGTGATGACGAACGTGTGGTACTATGTGGAGAGGTGAATTGCAAGGCAAGTGAGTTATGCCCTTCTCACATCCACAGCCTGTTTTGCGAGGTGTTGTCCCACTTCAGAGGCAGCTGAAGAGGCCTTTCTTGATGAGGGTGGTTGGGTCGATGAGATTTAAGTTTCTACCCCCTTTGGACACTAGCTGGACCTGGGCAAGGCCGGCTGGAGTGAATTGTATGTGTATACAAGTGGGTGAGCTGTGTAGGATTTCCAATTCTTTTCTTTCCCCTTTGGTTTTTCGAGACATGGCTTCTCTCTTCTGGAACTCACTCTGTTAACCAGGCTAGTCTTGAACACAGAGATCTGCCTATCTCTGCCTCCCATATTGCTGGCATTAAAGACTTGGGCCACCATGCCAGGCTTGATTTCCAATTCTAACCATCAGATCCTATCTGAATATGTTCTCTTGTATCTATGGGACTGTTGGACCCTTTTAATTACGTACTTTCTTGTCCTATTGAGATTCTGCTGCGGGGTTTTCAGTAATTGTCTGCACTTGTTATTTAGCGATTTCAATTTGCTGTTCAGTCACTGTGGGTGCTCCTGCCACTCTTCCGGTTTTACATGCATCACATGTAGTTAAATGTGACACTCACAAAGGAGAAGAGGGGAAATCCCAGTCAGCCACCCCGTCAGTGGGATGTACTGTTAGAAGCGAAAGGAAAAGAGCAAAGACGATGAAATTAACCTCCCTGCCCCATATAGATTTTTCAAAGTTAAAAATTACATGTGCCATGTATTAATAGCCATTAATAATTTATTCAGTAGTGATAAGTCAGGCACCTAGGAGACTTCTCCCCAGACTCAGGAAGAGAGGCTGCGGGTGGTTGTCAGTACAGCAGGCAAAGCTGCCAGGTCACAGTGGGGCTGAGGACTGCGCTGGTATGAAGGACAGGTTGTTTGCTTGAACATTTTACTGTAATCTCCCAGTGCCCAGCAGAAGGTTTTAGTAAGTCACTGTCTCCAGCTCTGGCCACCATATGTCTGAATCATCTCTCTCCCCCACCCCATGCATCTTTTTCCTTTCTGGAGGGTCAGTCATCATTGACAGTGGGCATGCTACCCACACAAACTGCCCTCAGTTGGCCACAACTGCCATGTTTTGTCCTTAGATGTCAGGAGAGAAACAGGAGAGTGACTGTACTCATGAATTTCTGTATGGTCCTAAATCAGGGCTTCCCAAAGAGAGTCACCCAAATGGAACCTATGGCAATCAGGCCATTGAAAAGTGGGTGGGGCTTACTCCTTGATAATACTCCTAAAAAAGAAAATGCTTCACCTGAAACAAATACTCAGAACTGAGAGACAAATGCTAGCACTCACTGCAAATGTTACTATTAATAGTATAATAATTAAACCCAGAGAAAAGGGCAAGCAAATTTTAGAAAGTGTGACTGAGCTGTTCAAGTTCAGCTTGATGTTAATTGTGGTTTGGCTGTGTCCTTTAAAATGATTAAGGAATAGAAGAAAAATACTTAATAGTATGCCTGTCATATGCAGAAATGCTTCATCAAGGAAGTTTTTTAACACAACACACAGTTTGAAATGTCTAAGGAAGATCCTTATCCCCTCTTTGTAACAGATGCACATGTTCAACCCTCAAAGAACAGTTTTCCCTCTAAATAAGAATAGCTCATCTTGGTGTTTGCACCTTGGGCAGTGGTTTAACTATGACGTTTCACCTCTGAGCCAGGGTGCTAGAAATGTCCTTTGTGCAGCAAGGCCAAGATGAGAAGAAAACAGCAGGTAGCAGAGAGAAACACCTCTCCCTTTCTGAACACCCAACTCCTTCTCATTTGCAATAAACCATTCATTATGAGGAATGAGGTTTGGGAGCATCTTTCCATTCACCCAGGAGAAATTTCTATATCCCCTGAATCGATATGAATAGAGAATAATTTAGGAAGTGATGCATCCAGTTTCTCTCTTCAAATGTTGAATTTGTACTATCATGTCCTATTACAAATGGATCACAATGACATGCCACACAATAGCAACCAGCATAGAGACTCAGAATAACACATGCTGCCAGGAAGGGTCCTGGAAAGGAACCTAAGCTGAAGGGCTTTCAAACACAATCTTCCTAAAGCTGGTTTTCCTCTGAATTCATTCAATGTTCTCATTTTCAAAAGCCAAATGTGGTCATTGTAACAGTAACACAGATTCTTCAATGCAGCCATACATTCTGTGTCATTTTCCCCTGCCTTTTTCTTTTTCTTAAAGACCTTTCTTATTTGCTATAATTATATGGAAATGAGATGAGTTTATTTAAGGGATAGGTCCCAAAATTCATGAGATAATGAAGACTTACAAAGTTACCCTTTTGTGGGTGGCAAATTGTTCTGAAAAAAACAAATGAAAAATTTAAATTAGCGGTTTCTGATTTCCTTTTCAGAAGGGGCTGCAGCTGCTTTTGACTGAGTTCTCCCACATAAGACAAGGTGTGTGTGTGTATGTGTGTGTGTGTGCACACACACACACATACACACACACGTGACACTAAAATTGCACTTAAATGCTGATTAATATAGTAGATTTAATGTACATTTTTAGCTTAGCTAATTTTTAACTTGAACAATTATTCCATACATTATAGGACTAAAAATCAAACTGTAAAGTTAATTCTTGTTTCACCTACTTAAGAAACCAAAATAATTGCACAAATTTAT